TGAATCTTTCATTTTTTTCTTACCATACATGGAAGATCCATTGAAAACCAGTCTCTCCACCACCTCAAATTAACTTTTCCAGGTAAAACCGTCTCCCAGAGGCCCAGCTCTTCCATGATATCTAGTACTTATCATCCATGACTTACAGGTAAAGGCTATTTGCTCTTCTGCTCATCCCCTTCTCTCTTTGTCCCTGTCCCTCTATATCTTTTCCACCACAGCTTTGCTTGGGTATTCCTCTAATTTGTCTTTGAGGAAGGATAAACGTGATGTTGTAAGCAAGACACTGGAAGAACTTTAATGAGATATCATATCCTGAGTTCACCACAGCTTTCCTGTGTGGCTGGAGGAGAAGCATTAATTTCAACGAAATCCAAGTTTCACTGGAGTAACAACAACCCTCCTCACAAACTTTGCCTCAAGCTCTTCTGCAGTGAATTTCCACATCTCTGAGGTTTCTTTCCTTTTCATCAGAACAGTCAGTGTAGCCTGAAGCTTCTACGGGCAAAGGAGCTGGCTCTTACTTAATCCAGTGGGACAGGATCTTTCCAAAGATCCCACTGTGATAATTTCAAACTATTTAACTATTAGTGAATTCAACTTATAAATATAACCTGTGAATAGGTAAATATGTATAGAATTGTTTGCATTTGATACATGCCCTTGTTCCCAGCCCTCAAATTTCATTCCTCTTCTGAAGATCTGATCCTGCAAATACTCAAACACAAGAATAATTTAATATATGACCAACCATGACAGCATCCATGGGACTATTCAAAGGACTCCTGGCAAAGGATTATGACTGACCTGCACATCTGGATTGTGTGTAGGTAGCACCAGAAAATATATATATTTCATGTATTCAGCTACTGATACAGCTTTTAATGTGCTCTAGGAACTGAACAGGTAAGCTTATACAGACTTATTCATTCTATCAAGAGACTGATAATTTCTCAGATGATCCACAAAGTACCAAATATGGTCATCTGAATTAGCTAGCAGTTCGGAAGTATTGATTTTAAATTTGCTTAGACAGGCTTCAACCTGAAATATAATAACTGTAAACTGTCTGCAATAGGCTAATAATAGCCTGAAATCTCTTAAGTTGGCATTTCATTGTTAATGAGCTAGACAGTGCATTTTTGGCATCCAGAGTAATTCTGGTGTCACTAAATATATTGTGATTTTTGTGTTGGCTCTATTGGTTTGAAGATCATTAAGTTCTGTAAACAACATACAAGCAAAAGCATTAGCTACAAAGTGCTGAGAAACAGTTCTAGCACACAGAGAAAATTACTGCCTTCAAGGCTAGAAAAAACATCTCTGGCATGAAACTACTGGTCATAGAATTCTACAAAGTGTTTTAGTAGCTGTCCCTTTTTCAACCACAAGAAGACAGCAGACTTTCTAATGCATTTTAACAGCAATGCCATTTTTAGGACTGTATTAAATAATTAACACTAGTGTACATGCTGTAATTTGCTAAATGCTTTTCAGCTGTACAAAGACACAGTTCTTTCCAAAACAAAACTAAAAATTAGCACCCAGTTGCTAATTAGCAGACTAGAAGTCACATTCTTCTGACCTTCTGTCAGATTAAGCTTTCTGCACTGTTTGTACTGCATCCCTCATTTTGTGGCTCTGTTCAACCATTTAGCTTACTTCTTATTTTCTACAGAAAATGAATTTGTTTTCTATGTCATAGCATTTTTGTCCTTTTAGCACTAACACATTATATTAAAAAAAAAAGTTTATATAATACTCTATTTGCATTTTTAATATGTTTTGTTTATTTTAAAAACCAAGAGCTGAGCATGCACATTACTGATGCAAAAAGCATAGTAATGGAAAAACAGGCCCTTATTTGTCAGCTGAAATAATTCGTGCATTCAACCAAATTTTTCCTTTTAAATTAGAAATTAGAAAGTTAAATGTACATGCTAAAATAAGCTATAACAAAAAGAGGAGGTGACTAGTGCAGTAATCTCCATTTAGCTGTATATCTAAACTTTCACATGATTATTCTGGGACCTGGATGTTTAGCTCTAGCAGAATACTTTGAAACTCAGGATTTTAGTATTAATTTAATTTCCAACTAAATCCTTGAGGTAGATAAGGGAGAGAGAGAGAGGAAGGGATAAAGAGACATTTTTTTAAAAAAATCACCACTGACCTTAAAAACTGCTGAATTTCATAACAATCTCAGGTTAGACAGGTCAATAATGTAGTATTGATTATTTATTTAGTAAAGTAATTCACATGAAACCCCTTGTCTTTAATAATATTTCAATGTTAATTTCATAGCTTGCATTCTTGTAGAATGCTGGAACTTCTATCAAGTTATCTTCAAACATTTGGCTTTTTGACAGGTTTGCACAAGTCTTCAATGAATACCTTCACATACATACAGGACACACATTCAAAGAGATAATATGTGGAAAATTCACTAATATATACACAAGATTATATCAAACAATTTAAAAGATTTAGATTTAAGCAATTAAATAATTCTAGTATGTAGTACAAAAATTTCAGTGTAACAGTTCTTACATTTTTACACTAAATGTAACAGAGGAGTACAGCCCTGGTAATAAAATGCTTGGTCCTATGAGGACAGAAATAAAAAATTTTACTAGCTTGGTGATAGTTTGATTCAGAACCTCATGGGATGCATACAAAGTCTGATTTTCAAAACCTGTGGGAAAGGCAGTGGAACAGGCAACTGTGATGAGCCTTTTGGAGGCTTTTGAGAGAATAGTGTTTCCAGCTCTGCAGTCCATGATGGATTGAATCACCCTCCTCAGTGCCTTGAGACTACATATATACAGAAATATATTTATATATATATATATGTAAGGCAGAAAGAGGAAGGGAAAGGGAAAAAGAAAAGTCAACCAGATGGCCCAACTAGATAACCCAAGACAGTCAGCACTTGTCTTGACTGTTCTCAGTACTGGTGGTTTTTGCATCAGGCCATTTCTTCTCTATTAGGTATGTTCATTTTTCTCTTATGTAGCGAGGAAACATTTGGGCTTTTACTATGGAACAAAAGCTACTAGTGAAAGTGGGCTTTCACTAGTTACAAAACTAAATGCTACAGATTATTTACAACAGCAAATAAAAAAGAACATTAAAAAAATAAAGTTGGGAAAGAGCATTTAGAAGTCGAGTCATTGCCTGGAAGTGGCCAGAGACTCACCTAATTCTATGGGATTCTTTACCTGTACTTTGACCATGATTCTGTTAAGGCCAAAAAATTACTTGAACCATTCATTTCATTGTAGATTCTAAAAGGATTTTTCTCAAACAACAGATTTCTCTTGCCAACTGTATTTGGTAGAAAAAGTATGAGTGAAATCAAATGGTTTTCTAGCAAGTCACAAATACATAGACTGAATCAGGCAAATTTTAGTCTCAAGCTCCTTTCTTAAAAGAAGTTTTGGGCTTATACTCTTTGGTCTTGTAACATATTAGGAACATTAAGAGAACCATTTTCATACAATTTTGTTTCTTGGATAAGAAGACACATTTAATTTTCATCCAACCCAATTCAGCAGCAGCTAGGGTAGAAAAAAATCCTATATTCCACAGGGCTTCCCAGTTGCTTCAGCCTCATCATTTTTCTTCCAACTGTCCTCCAAGCCCCTGCTGACAATGCTGGCTCTGCTCATGCTGAAAACTAGTGCAGGGCAGGGGATGCCTGATTGGTACACAGAATTAAAAATCCCTTTTCACATAAAATGCTTTTTTTTCAAATAGTGTTGTTCCCATCTGTGTAACAGTTTTTACTCTGTATGTTTAAAAGTAAGTCTGGAAAGATTTTGTAACTAGGCTTAAATATCCACTAATTAACTATAAATATGACTAGGCTTAAATACCCACCTCTAATTATTGCACAATTAAAATAATAATGGTAGGCTTGTTTCTCTAATCAAAGAAAAATGAACTCTTAACTGAACATTTCACAAATGTTTCATATCAATCAGCAAATAAAAAACCCTTGAATTTTTATTGCAGTATTTACTTGTGTTACTGAGAGCTCTTTACAGCATCCATGATTATAACAAACCCTTTTATTTACAGCATGTTTGCTCTCGCAAGGATTGAAGAGTGCACAGGAAAACAAAAAATGTTCTCTGGGATGTCTTAATAAAAACATATGTAAATAGTTGGGAAAACAAAAACAGCAGCGTATAAAAGCAGCAAACTTCTAAAAGAAGCCTAAATTGTTGCTGGCAGGTTTTTCCCCTAGTTAAATAGACTGTTGAAAATTCCCCTTTAGGACAGTGCATGCAGAGCATGCATGGTTTCTGGAAGCACAGTCCAAAACTGTGGCTATAACACAAAATTAGATTGCGAGTATGTGAAGAACAAAGGCTAAAATCCTTAAGAATAATGAGATTTATTTGATAATTGTATGCAAGATAAATATTGTCTTTTTAACTTGTGCTCTGACCACTAAGGATGCAGTTTTATGAACAGCTTTCCAGTAGCAACTGGATCTATGTACTGACTTCTCTGAGACTGCTGCAAAATTTGCCAGATTGTATTTCAGGTGTATTAGACCCCCATCCCAGCTCTTCAGCCACCAGCAGTAAACAAGTCTTTATATGGGGAAAAACATAAGGGGAGAGAAAGTAAATAGAAGTGGAAAGATAGATTTTCTACCAGCATAAAGTACAGCTTCTCTTTCCTTTCTTATTTTTCTTAGAGACGCTCAGATTCTTATATAATTGCATTATTTTTAGTGCTGGAGAGCTAAAAAATCACAGCAAAGGAACCAGACTTGCAACAACATGAGCAGGTGTGGCACTGAAGTGTTCAGACTGCTCACCTGACAATCTCTCAAAAAAAGGCAATTTAACTCTAGAAAGTTAATGCAGCCTTACAGTAACCTGCTGTATGGTTCAGATAATCTATCTGAAATGTGATGTGATAGACGAGACCTCCATTTGTCACATCTTCCTCTGCAGATATGTGAAGAAAAAAACAGAACTCACCATTATTCACCAGGACATGGAGTGGACAATTCTTTGCTCTAAACTGCTGCACAAATTGCCGTATAGACTTCATGGAAGCCAAATCACAGTATAAAAACTCCACTGGAAGAGAAGAGGAAATAAAAACAAAGAAAGTCAATTACAGTGATATGAAACCACATAGACATCAGCAAGGACTCCTGTGATAACATCACTAGTAAAGTAAATTTTTTAAAAGAAAATGGACTTTTCAAAATGATGGGTGAAGCTGGTCTCAGGTTCTTTCTTTCTCCTTCCTCCCTTCATTTCTATTCTTAAAATATTGATTCTTCCCAGAGTGAATATGGGGAAAGTGGCAGTCAGGAGGTGAAGGAGGGCATCAAACGAAGCACACAGGTTTTACCCTATTTTTCTTACTACTGCTACCATTCAGGAAGAGGAGCTACAGTGCTGCAGCACTGAGATGATCAGGACATGGCAGCTGGAAATCAAATGGGGAGAGGGCACATCAGACACTGCAAGGTTTCCCTGTGTTTCTGATGCAAATATGCTGCCCTTTTTTTTTTCCCCAGACTATCTACTGAGTACCTGTGGTTGGAATAGTTTGTAAAACAAGGCTTTATTGCCAGTGGGAGAGATGAGCAGCAGCACACCCTGAACACAGCAACTCTGCTGATCACTAAAAGGAAATAGAGCATTGTAAGTAATGATGTGGTTCCTGTGGACATTCAGGGACATTTGGTGTCCAGGTCACCTGGGAGCAACAACCAGACACGAAAATGCCATTTAAATGTGGGTAAGAGTTGTGTTGACCCTTGGCTTTGGCAATGGCAGTGTGATTTGAGAGGAACATACCTCACATGAATATTGTGGGTGGCATCCTGCCTATGCTGCTGATGTCAGTCAAAGGGCAGGCTGGCAGGGGCAGGGGCTTGGCAATCTGACCTCACCAATGAGATTGCTCAAGGAGCAGGGTGTCAGTGTCTCAAAATGTATTTGATACCAGTATGTCCTTATTTCCATGAAAACGCATATCAAACAAGCATCCTTTTGTCCAAAGCATTACTCAGCCATTGACCTGCACTAGAATGCTGCAAAATTAATTAGTCAAAATAAAAAAAATATTATTTCAATCCCCCAGCAGTTTTAAACCCATCAGGTCTTAAAATTCTTCTGCTGCAGTTGTTCAGCCTTCACCCTGGGCTCTCACAGCACTGCCTCATCGATTGCCTTGCTTTGCATGAAGCTCTGATCAGAGTTATGAAGTGAGAAGAAGCAGTGCGCCCTGCCAACAGCAGTAGCTGTCCCCACACAAACAGTCCAAATTCTTTACAAGCTCTGCAAAGGTGAAAAAGAAAGAAAACTATGACCTCGTCCAACTGTTTTAGCCTTTTAAAAAGTTTATATTGCATGTCTGGCTTTTGGTTTGTTTCAGCATTAGCTATGTTTTAAGGAAGAAAATGGGATGTTGTACCACAAATATTAGTCTCCCTTCTGGTTTCCTACTTGTCACTGTGGGAGCCCAAATCAGCCACCTGTTCTCAACTCCACCCTGAAAAGATACCAGGGCTCTGAGGTGGATTTGCTTGAGCCTCCTCCATGGTGTGAATTTTACAAGCAAGAGCAAATGGTGTTTCAAATTGAGAAAGTCAAACAATACTGAGTAACCTTCTGTGACTAGGTCCATCAGAGAGAAAGGCAAAGGCTGTGCAAAACATCTCCCCTTGATCACTGTGTCCTTGCAGGGTGAGCCCTTACTGTCCTGCTGTTTAGTTTCAATGGGCTCCCAGATTCCCCAACCTCTGCACAGATGCTCAGTCTCCAGGATGGTTTTGGCCATCCCATCAAAGGACTGGGGTTTCAGAGGCTCACCATGTTTTCCCCCCTTAGGAGGATTAAACTATTGGGTAAATAGGCTCCAGTGCAGGCTGTAATAAGAGACCTTTCCTCTTACTCTCTTCCCTGGTCCATCAGGGATGTTTATCCTGTCCCTACCAAGACTCTGAGCTATACTGCCTCTTTATAGTGTGTCAGTAGTGTAACAGACTAGGAAGGCCTGCAGGCAGAACAACAAGATAAATAAAAGAAAAATATTCACAACTGTTATTTGATTCGTTTACAGGAGAACAGTTTCTTTAGTTCCCTTAGTATGAGGCATTAATAATCCTTATATATATTTGGAACCTAGACTGTATTAGTCCTCTGAAATTGTCTTAGTGAATGTATATAAATTATTCAGTGATCTTTTCCATTAATAAAAAACAAACAAACAAACAAATAAACAAGAATGCTTAGATTCCAGTTATGAGAGAGTGTAATAGATAGTGTCCAAATGTAAGATAGTGTAAATACATTTTTTCAAAGTGACTCTAAAGTTATACCATTTCAACAACACTGTTCCCCATGAATAGAAGTGGAAAATTTCTTGATCTCTCTGCAGACCTTTAGGTGCTCAGCAATTTTCTTTAATTTCATTGAAGGCCTGCACATGGAGATGGTAAGGAAATGTAGAAGTTATTAACTTCTATCAATGAAGAGAGCTGCTCAGGCCATTCCTCCTGTGGCCTAGCCATTGTATAAAACCACAAGAATGGCACTGTAGTTCCTCAGATATCCAAAACCTGATCATAGTAAGTTATTAATAATTTGTGCAACAATGAGTGGAGTGAAGACCTAGATGAAGCTTTATCCTGACTCTGCTGTTGTTCTACTTCATTAGGCAGCTCATCAAGAAAAGAGATTAGGGAAAGTATGATCTGCTTCTTAGGAGGCAACTCCTCCAATGGAGGAGTCACTTTCAATAAAGAAATATTTATCTTGGTACAGGAGGCATTAGGCCTTCATTAGCTGTGGTATTTTGTGGCACGGTGCAGGCTCCAACCCCTTGTTCATCACCAGTACGGACTCTGACACGTTATTGACTCTATTGCCGCTACATATGCAAGAAAAGCAGACCTCTGAGGACATCCACTAAACTAAATTTTAATCTCTTCCCTTATCTGACCTTGCATTGCCAACAAGAATGGTGGTTAATGCTTGCCAAGGGAGTGATTTTTAGCCTGACCAACGCAGTCTCATTTTTCCCCATAATTAACTTTTTGTTGCAGCGTCTGATCTTCCCTCCCTTAATTTTTCAGTTCTGCACAACAAATGCTATCCTTCATTATATCTGTTCAGTGCCCATACTAATGGCACACTAGGCCAAGGCTGTCATTACCAAACTTATTTACTTGCTTACTTGGAAAGCATGTCACCATATTCAGTATTTGTAAAGCACTTGCCATCAAAAGGTCGGAACAGGTTTCGGAAAGGAAAACAAACAAACAAATCCACCCCCAAACTTTTCTTTCTGCTCACAGGGCAGAAACATTAACAGCCAGAGTCCCTGTTGGTGCTTATTCATGCGTGGCGGCTCTTTGCTGGGGAGGTGGGTTCGCTGGTGCCTCTCCCCTCGAGAAACTGTGCCAAAATGTGACTCCAAGTCGTGTGCTGACTCAGAGGCAGGGCCTTGATCAGAAACTTAGCTTCTTCTTTGTCCCATGGTGATTTTTTAAATCAGTGTACTGAAGAACTACAAGTTAGAAGCTAAGAAAAATGGTAAGATTTTAGAATATTTTGAAGCATGCAAAAATATACTAAGCAAAATATACTAAGCATGACAATTTTTTAGATGCCTTAGTTAGAAAAGACCAGTGTTTAATAATGTGAGCAAATGACCAAACTGGATTGTGAACTTAGAATGTAACTTGAATTACTTCATGGAAACAAAAATGGCAATGTTTTTCCATATAAGATAGGTATGAGCAAAAAGAAGATGTTCATTAACAGCAAGAAAATTGTAACATGCCAAAATTCTTGTCTTTTACCACAATAGTGGCCTTCTGTTTTAGAGTTTAATAATCTAATAAGTTTTCAAAATTAGTTCTTTTCATTTTCTGTATGCTATTAAGTACAAAAATGGAGAGTAGAAGCTACATACAGAATAAGCTCATACAGAATATCTGCAGGTAATGCTACTGAAGTATTCAAATTTCTAACTTTACCCCAATTTATCTCCCCTTTTCCTGTGTTACTTGCTTTCAGGTACTTCTGTAGTGACAGACATGCCTGTATTTCTTTCTTCAACTGGATGTGTCCTGTGTTCTTATCTAAATAGTTTTTCCAATGAAAGCAGTACATCCATAGCTGTCAGACACTGGCTAAAATTTTCACTCTTAAAAATATTTTTCTATTATTTTATTTTAATTTGATGGCTCAGTTGTCAGAGAGTTATTAGCTTTTGAAATACAGAAGGAGCAAAATTTCCCAAAAGACAGCCAGTTACATATGCTATTAACCACATATGAATAGATATGTATACAATGGTGGTACAATTGCTGCTTTCCATAATTGCTTTCTTTCAAACATGTATCTGCCTGGTGCAGGAACCTTTTAGCCACAGGGAAGTCAGCACAATGTTTTCTGGGTGCACCTCATGAGGCTCATACACACTGGCTGCCACGTGTGACACCGCTGAGCACATGCACTGTGCAGTGCCTGCTCCTGCATTTTACACCTTCTGCTTGCTTGGCCATGGCAACTAAAATGAGAGAGCCTGAATGACTGGCATCTGGTAGCTCCTGACACCCTGAGACACATCTGAGAGCTTTCTGACACCCTGAGACCCACAAAATCCAGGAGTCCCAGCATTAGGAGAGCCTGAGACAGCCCCTAAGATCTCAGACTCCCCTGAGCTTCCCCATTTCTGTCTGCCTGCTTCTTCACACTATTACCACACCTTTCTTCACATTCAGAGTTCCCCTCCTTTACTTTCCACACCAGCACAGTTAACTGTGACTGCACATTCCCTCTGTGTCTGCATCACAGGGCATAAAAAGCATGAAATGAGAATTTCAGTCTGGTATGGAAGGAAAATTCAGAAGCAAAAAAGAATGGACAGATATTTCAGTGAAGGATCAGGGATTGTAACTTCTGAGATATTTACTGATCATCTGAACACAGGAAAATGCAATGTTTTGATTCCCTTAAGGACTACACCACTTAGGCTTGGTTAGATCAGATTAAGATGGCATAAGGCCACCTGCCAAGTACCATTTTTTATTCTAATCTATCTATCCATCTATCTATTTATCTATCTATCTATCTATCTATCTATCTATCTATCTATCTATCTATATCTATATCTATATCTATATCTATATCTATATAATCTATATCTATATAATCTATATCTATATCATCTATATCTATATCTATATCTATATCTTTATAATATATCTATATATATTTCACCACATTGAAATTTTTATGGACAGCTACAGGTCTGCTTCAGCAGAAATCATAAGTCAAAGGCTTCTTGCTTTTAGTACTTATGCCACAGCAGTTTTCTATTATTTTCAAAGCCTTTGTCTTAAAAACACATGCAGGGGATACATTCTAAGGAAAGCTGCAAGTCTGCCCAGAACTGCAGGGAGCTGAGGACTACAGAAAGGATTGCATTGCCTGTTTCTACTTGCCACCCATCTATCCAGTGTCTGAAGATAGAAGGAAGAGTTACCTCTTCAGCAAGGAATAAGGGATGCTTCCTAGACAAGGTAATAAAAAACGGTGTTCAGTAGTCAGGTATTCATGTCCAAAAAAGCATCTCCCAGGTACATTGCATTCTGGTTTCTGTATGTCTACAGCAGGGTTATGCTCTGGCATCTGCACAGCAGCAAGAAGAAATGCTGTCCTGCTAACAAACAACTTACCATGATTCTAAGAATCTGGACAGTGCCATGGAGATGTTTATCAGAAAGGACCCTTGATGAGTCAAAAACCTACCATCTGCTAGATGCTGCACTGCAAAGTCAGGGAAGATTTGTCCAAAAGGTGACACATGAAAATGAAGTGGAGCAAACCTCAGGAAAGAAAGAGCTGGGAAGAGAAGAAGACATAAAGCAGCACTGACTGGAGTCCAGTTGCATTTTTTCATCACGCTGTCCTTGCTGTGAGTGGAAAATGCAAAAGCAGTTCTACACTGCTAACACAAACTTGTGGTTTCACATTCTGCCAGCTGGATATGTGCAGCAGCACAAAAAGTCCCCATCTACAAAACACAACTCCCATGAACAGAATTTTCCTACATTGTCCGGGACTCACACAAGGGCTGTGATGCAAGTTCTGCCCAGACAGGCATGATGACAGAACACTGCATGCTATTCAGGACCATAAAATGCTTACTTTAAAAGGACTTCTCAGTGAACAAAACCAAGCAAAATCCTTCAGGTGAGTAAGGCACGTACCAACCGACTGCATATTGAGCACAACAAGAGATAGCAAACATAAATGCAGCAAGCACAGTGTCTCCTGATTATGCCATGCTCCTGCCTTCACACACTTGATGAGTTCTCTGGCCTCGACACCATAAGAACTATATAATCTCCTCCATTGTGCCTTAGAAACCAAGATTCACAGGGATAAAACATTAACACACAGAAAATCCTAGTATGTGCAATCCTACCCATGGCACCGATTGATGCTTAATTCCAGTTGTGGTTATTGTGACAATTTCCAGAATTTTGGATTCTAGTCCTTCAAATTAGTATAAACATGTGACCTTGGAGCAATGCTTGCTGGGCATTTTATAAGTTCTCCCCAGTATTATTCTCTGTCTTTTATTAGCCTGAATAATTCTGTGGCCCTTTATCAGACCACTGATCTTTCACAGACTATTAACAGAAATAATAAAGCAGGGGTAACTCTAGAGCAGATTTACTGTTCAAGCTGATGCTTGTGATATACCACTGAAGAAGAAGTCAAATAGAAGACATCCATCTGGCAAAGTGTGTGAGTGCAGTGGCACAGATCAAAATAGTGAGCATATTTAAATATACCATTTGAGAATTTTTTATATTAAAAGATACACTCACAATTTAAGGCAGCCTAGTTTGTCTGCAGCCTTTCAGCAGGCAAGCAAGAGCACCTAAATTCAGCTGCTTCTTCTCTGAGTCATCCATTCTAGCACCTCTAACTTTAAAGGCAGTATAAAGAGATTGACTTCCTGTGCCTAATGTCAGCCTTTGTAAACAGCCTCCATGTGTCATCTGGACAGTTCAGGGGAACAAGAGGTCTACATCAGTGTTACAGCATAAAGAGAAATCACATTAGGCAAATATTAGAAATTAATGTTGTGGGTTTTTTTTTTGCTTCTGCATGAAAGTGGCACTTTGTGGTGCCATTTCTTAAACACAGAGCTTTACCCCATTGTAATAAAAGAAATGGGTAAAAACATCTTCAGCTGGAAGCTGTTTTGTTTCTCAGAGATGGAAGAATAAAATAAAAAAAGGAATTTGCTTTCAGAAATTGAACAGTCTGCCTTCTCAGTTTCCACAAGAGAAGTGTGTGGCCTAGTACAGTGATCCTTTAACTTGTTACATTCAAGAAACACCCCAGTATCTCTTGTGTACTGGTTAATCAAAATGGACAAGGGAAAGAACTATGTTCTTTTAAGGAAAAGAACAATGTTCTGGTTCCATCACTACCAGCAGCTCCCATTACTGCTGAAATGTCAGCTCAACACAGGAGAGACCCCTGAACAGCTCCACAAAGCACATTGTCAGAGTACTGGGACCTAACAGCAGTACAGAAGGGAGGGAGTCCATCTAATGCAACACAAATGCCCAAGTGTGACTCTGCTGGTTGCAATACCGGGTGGGATGTAATTCAGATATGTTATCTTTTTAGCACAGTTCACACAGGCATGGCATGCCCTGGGTTTTCCAGACATGCAAGCAGCACCTTACTGTATGTTATCTGACATTTTATGTTCAGTGTGGCCAGAGCTTGAGAAGAAATAAACTACCATCAGCTCATCAAATAAAGTCACCTTGGGAGGTGATGGCAGCAGTGGGATCTACAAGTAGCTCTCAGGGTAGAAAGATTATCTCAGCTTCACATGGGTAAAATTTCCTCGAGATTATTCACTAGGGAGGCTTAGCTTTTTAAGAATAGCAAATATACAATAATAGATACACATAGAATTTCCTCACATGTTTTCTACTCATGAGTTCAGGTGCTCCTTATCCGTGTTTCTTACTGTAGAGGGACAAAGCCCTCTGATATCCTCTTCCATTGCTATGGGAAGACTTTGTTTTCACCCCTCTGAAGAACTTTTTTGGGAACTCCTGTCACCCTTTTGAGTATCTGTGGATGTGCCTCCACATAAGTTGAAAGGAAATTTGACTTTGGCTCTTCATAGGACCATTTAGAGCCCTGTGAAGAAATGGGTTGGAAAATGCCATGGCCACATTAATTTCAGTCTGAGCCTGATAGTCAGAATAAAAAAAAAAAAAAAAAGGTTGCAGTGAAAATACTTATCATATCTGTTTTGGAGAACTGAGGAAGGCAGCCTTCCTCCTGTTAACAGCTAAGCATGCTTTCTTCCCTCCAGAACAGAAGGATCAAAACCAAAAGGACCTGCCCAGGTAAAATCCCTCTGCTTCATGGGGACAGAAGAGCTCACAACAATCTTCTCAAAATTCATCATTTATAGACAGAAGAGAAGATGGCTTAGAATATCTTCTTTACTATTATTACCCTCATTGCAGGGGGATTGGACTGGGCGATCTTTAAGAGTCCCTTCCAATCCAAACTATTGTATGATTCTGTATACTTTTTTGGATACTTTCTTTATACTGTATTTTCCTCTTGCTCCCTGGTGAATAGATTTTTATATTAAATGTCATTGCTGTATTTTGTGAATTGTAGATATGGGTTGTTTTTTTCTTCTCAGGTGACATTTACTCCTTGGAATGGCTTAACTCTACACTGTGACTTATATCTCATTTAAAACCTAAAAATACATGGCACATATGCGATGAACACAACACAGTGTCCTCTATCGACACTCCTGTCGGGACTGAAACTCAAATGAAGAGCTTCTTGGATGTAATACAGAGTCAAACAGTTAATGAAGGTAAAAGTCACCAAGGCTTATACAAGATGACAAAAGGAGAATGCACTTCAGAGCAAGCTAGGAGCATGATTCTTCCTAGACATTATGCTGAGTCCTCAACTGATTTAAACTGGTGTAGTTTTGCCAAGTATATGGAGCTGTCATTTGCTTCCAGTTTCTCAGCTCTGGATTTGCACATTCCCAATGCATCTTGGGTTGCAAAGCTTCAAAGTTAAAATATCAAATCTCTTGCATGATTTGATGATCAAGGACACACACAGGCATATGAAAGAGAGATGGCAAAATTAATGCCAGAGACCTTTTGCTGGTAGTCTTCTCCTTCAGATTACTTTATTAGATGAGTATTCTGACTAAAACAAGCACCAGAACTCATCTTGAGCTGTTTCTGTCTCAACTTGTAGAACTTTTTTCTGTATAGGCAGCTTACTTTTCACAAGAAATTTAAAAGCATTTATTTATTTATTCAATACATTTTCTCCAAGCTAGCCAAACCCTAGCAACTTCAATTCAGTTGCACATTAGATACTTTGCTTGTATCTGTACACCCCTAAATCTTGCTTCCCACAGCCTCCCTAATTTATTTAACTTTTAGTGTGAAAGAAGCACTCATATTCCCAATGCATATGTTTTGGAGGGAGAATCAACATAAACTTCCATGAAAAAAAAGCTGTTCAGGAAATGAGCGGTTTGCTAAAACGGGGCCTTAATTACAGACACTCACAGAGCCATAATGTTTGTAGAACTGACTTTTTGTTTTAGTTGCTACAATAATAGACCTCCAGATCCAATAAGTCTGCTTTTGGACTGAAATGGCTTAGTGCTGATGATACCCCAGTTCCCACAGTAGCCCAGAACTGAGCTGGGCCACTTGGTCTTTGCTGGTGCAGGTCTGTCTTCTGTCATGGATGCAATTGTCGCAAGATGTGAACTGACTTGTAACCTTCAGCCTTTTAAATTTTACCTGCCATTCTAGATTTAAGTATCAAATGTTTCAGTCAAAATTCAGAATGCAACCAGCATGTCCTAGTCTGTCATGCAGGAGCTTCTTTCCATAAGCCAGTGTCAAGTATGTACTTGGAAATCTGAAATAAATCACTTCTAGTAGGATGTTTGTTCGTCTGCCTAGATATTTCATAGATAATATTAAATTTTGATTCCTGGCCAGACTTCAATACTGGAGAATCATTATTTGATGGCAAGAACAGATCTCCAATTGGCTACATTTCCTGAAAAGAGCATATATCTTCTGAGAATATTTGCTTACCTTTTCAAACCCACGAAAATAAAAACCTCTGGTGTGAAGAAGCATGTTTGTAATAAGCTTCGGTATTACCGCAAAAACACCTCAGCAAATATTCTGCTTCACACCCTCTGAGGTAATAGAGAGGCTGATAATGTCTCTGCTTTGTAGTACTTCAAGGATAGAAACCTTGCAGATTCAAAAAAAAAATATAAAAGGGAATAATATTTCCAAGCTTCAGGCAAAAACAATTTTGAGTTGTCCAATATACAACATCTAGACATGAGAACTATCCATAAAACATACTTTGACAAAGACTACCTTCCTTTTCCCCAGAGGTTTTCTGCTTTTCACTCTCATGTCAGTCCTAGTGCTCATGAGGCAAGCTTGAGGGGCTCTCAGATCCCCTTTTTTTTCTTCTTTTTTTTTTTTCCTCTTTATTTGGAGATACTCTTTGCATGGATAATCAAGTCACTGCTCGCCTGTGGCAGCAGAGGTAGCAAATGTGACAGAGAGGAGGCAGCAGGAGCAGGTAGTAGTGGTGGAGGAACTGCAAAAGGCCAGGGCTACCCCTTCAGATTTAGGGCCAAGTTAATCACAGCTCACCTGGTTTCACCCAGTGGTGTGGCTGCTCTCCCCTCACATCCTTGCCCCACTTCAATCCTCCCACACAGGTCTGCTGGTGCAACTCCTTCTCCTGGTTCATGCCAGCCTATACCTGCAGTGTTACCTGGGTTATGGTAAGGGAATATCAATAACCTTGAACACCAGGGCTGTCATCCCTTCCCACTCCTCCAAGAATCAAGATACATAGGCTTATTTTTTTCTTCTCTTCAGATCTGGCATGAGACTGTTTCTCTTTCATGCTTAAGCAAGCTTAGGTCTGTACAGGGCTTCTAAGATGTGATTCATCTGACCTGTTTCACAAATCTAGTTTAAGATGAGATGAATCATGTCTTACAACTATTTATTCCTCTCCACAGAATGCAAAAGGGGCTTGGGGACACTGACTCAGATTAAAATCTCTGCATCATGAACCTCAAAAGTTAGGTGATTTGAATCCTAATGTTCAGTTTCAGCTACTAATGAACAAACAGAAAAGACATGAAAAAAATCAGAGAACTGGGAATGTGTGCAGATGACTCAGTGTTATTCACCACACTCAAGATTTGGGAAAAAAACAGAGAGTGAGAACTTCCAGAAGAATCTTGCCAAAGGCTCATAGATAGCTGTAACAAAGAAAATTCGTGCTGGAAAAAGACGAGAAGTCTTGCAGGGAGTGTTTAAATTCTCCTTTATTGTGAATGTCTCTGAAATAACTGTGACTTCTCAACAGAATATTTGAGATGCTGTTGCACACTCTAATCGACAAACACATCCTGAGAGTCAAATATGGTAAAGATAATTGTCGTGGCTGGTTTTAGTGAAATTGTGTGTACATGCATGTAACTGAGACTGAGCTCAAGCAAACTGTAAGACATCATAATTTTTGTAGTAATGACACTGGCTATGCATCCCAGGTGAGAACTGGCAGCTTTGCTGCTACTCTATAAATCACACACCTCTCACAGCTACTAATCTGCCGCAGAGATCTTTCAGGCTAGCAAAGTGACAGGGAAAAGAAGTGTAGAAGAATAAAATGCTAAGAATAGAAACAGTCTCTTGATTGCTGCTTCACAGGCTGCCCTCTACATGGATTCCACCTCCTTTCTCTTTTTACTTCTATACAAAGAGGTATTTCTTATTATTTTTAGGATATAAAAAGGCTTTGGTTTTTTGTTTTTTTTCTTTGAGATAGATTCATCTTTAGGAAACTTTAGGTCTCTCCCCTCACCCCATCCTGTTTTGTTGCTTTGTTATTCTTCTGATCCTACCTCCACTGCTGGTCCTCCAGAACTTTTAACATGATCACTCTAATGTGGTGTTCCTAGTCAGTGATGGGGCTTTAAAGCAATCATCTTTCATAGCACTTCACTGCTAATGCTGACCTGGAATTTCAGGCAATGTCAGCCAGAGCCACTGAGCAAGGAGCCACAGGGTTCTTCTCCTCCATCTCAATATTCAGTGCTTCTGGTATTTTCATTCTTCTTGAAGGCAAGCTGGCTTTTGGACATCTCTATAATTCTTGCCTAAAGAATATGCATCCTGTCTATTATTCTGTATTGACTCACATTGATAAGTATTTTCATTAGATGTTTTGTGAAAATTCTTCCTTTTGTTAGGAAAAAATAACCCTGGGAAGGCTATGTACAGCTGGAAAAGGTACACTCATTTGGGAACTATTTAGGGATGAAAAAGATACTTTTAGCTGCCTATAACCCCCTTTTTTCAAGCAAAGCAAACTGTCTTTTCTAAAGGTACATCCTGGGGAAGGTGATCCACCAAGATGATTGGTTCACACCAGGTGAACAAAAAGAGGATATTTAAATATTTCTCCTACTCAAAAATACAACTTGTGCATGACAGTCTTTTCCCACTGCCTTCATACCAGCTTTAGGGAAAGAACTACCTGCACAGGTAAGTCTTTGCATTGCCATTCAGTCTCTGGACTTTACGGAGATACTTCATTAGCTAAATTAATTTTATAAAGATGTTGGTGAGATAGTCTCCAGATGTGAATTTCTCACCTGCAGAAGGGACAGGAAGTATGGATCAACGTGTCAGTGTACTACAGTGAAGGCAGCCAAGCTTGCTGAATTGGTGAAAAGAGATGTATAGCAGAATTAAACACATAAGAATTGCATGAATCTATTTCTTTGCACACCTGCTCTCTCCTTAGCAGGGAGGAGACCAGCATCAGAATGGTCTGTCTTTTAAAAGGCAAAAGTCACAGCACTGTTTTTTCCTATGGTGCACGCCCTTCAGGGAAAAGCCCTCAAGAGAGGTGAGGGAGAAAATGGATTCTCATTAGTCTGCTTATTCCCATGTATAACTCAATACAGTTGAAATGGATTTTTCCCCATTCTCTAACCTAAGAAAAATAAACACAGAAAAACAAACCTCTTTTAAATTTTGCATCCTCTGCAGGGAATTAATAATGTATGAAATTATTCTTCCTACGCTTTCTGATGTATTATTGGCATTTACTTAATGAAAAAGCTAAAATTCTCCTCACCATAGACTACTATTTCTAATTCAGTGAAAACTGTGATCCTGACACTATAAGGAAGGGAATTAGAGATCTGCACCTGGTAGGATACTGGATATGAGAACATTAAGGTTTTGGATTTCTGCATATTGATAATCTAGCATTTTTGGGGAAGATAACCCCACACACATATATGGGAAAAAAATCAGATAATACCTTTTATTCATTTGAGCATGAGATTCTAGCAGACAACCTTTAACAGCAGGTCTGGATCTGAATGGTACTGTTTAAATACATTTTGAATTGCTGCAGAGCTCCAGATTAATAGTGCTGCAAGATCAAAAGTCTGTGATGCAAAATTTTAGTGTTGCAAGTCATAACATATAAAACCCACTCTGCCTGCTTTTAGCAGATTCTCACCCACCAAAGTGCCTCCATAAGCCTGTGTTTATGGTTCAGCTCTACATCTGAAAAAGGCTGAATTTGGCCTCCAATGCCACGGGAGGCAATGTAAAACCCACCCTGCTGCCTGGGAAAAATGGGGAGTGAGGCTGCTGTGAGACTTGGAGCAACCACCCAGCCCTGGCGTCATTTGTGTTTCCTCCGGTTACTTCATAGGAGTGACACAGATTGCCTCAGCTGTTATTTTGGGGGGCCAAAGTAAATTTGGTTGGCCTTGTATAAAGCTCTGGAACAGCACATTTCTAATAGGCAGGTAGAGTGCTAATTTAATGGTAAATTATATATTTGGGTTAGCAGCTTGGCCGCTTTGTTGTTTGGT